TCAGAGGTCAGTTGAAGAGACGCTGTGATTGGCATCAGATGATTGTCAATTAGAACACTCATTAACATAATTACCCGTTGAAAAATCGACGGGTTCCTGCAGTGTCGATAGAGGGCCATGCAGAATAAACCAGTCGGGGTGATTTCGCAGTTACACCTCCATTTCGCAATTTATTTAATTTTATTTAAACTACAAAAACAAACTAATCGCCCCGACTGCGCCAGTCTATCTTTTTACATGTAATGAATATTAAGCATTTGTCAACATTATTAATGATCTTTATTATCTACGCATTAATTTAATGCACTACATATCATTTACAAATAATTGAGTAACTGTACATAATAATGTAGCACTACACAGACATTTCAATTTTGAATACATAGTATTTAAACAGACATTTCAATTTTGAATACATAGTATTTAAAATATTCTAATGTCGTAATAATTTATTTTGTTTAGCTCTTATTAAACACGAAGAATAACGTGAAGACGTGACATTTGAAATCATTACTTTCTATTCCAGTTTTCACAATTATTTACCACGGCAGTTAAAACATTTACTACGAAAGAAACGTAGTGTGGGACCTTGGCAGATAACAATCACACTGGATAGATGGAATACCCATTAGGCCATTACGGATAGATCAGCTTCAATCCTAAAACCAGCAATCAACGAATGGTATCCTGCTCTTCACTTCTATTACACAATCTCACATTCTCCAATAAAACTCCAAGCGTGGCAAAGTAAATCGATCGACCAATGGATGTGACCGTTGGCGCGGTCAAGTGATTACAAATGGTGTGTATCAAAGGTTAAAACATTGCCGGCTTGCCACTACAAAACACAATTCATATACAATATACAATTTATGAGATTCCTGTGAATATATGCAAGTTGTTATAAATAATAAATAATCCTGCAACATCGTGTGTACGTGACGTTACTATGGTAAATCAGTCAACAGCGTATACTGGTATTGCACATAACAAGCGTGATAACAAATAAGTCTAAAATAAGTAACTACGAGAAATATTTTCGGTAGAATTAAAAAAATATATCCAATAACAGTACTAGTAACATGGAAAACCATGTGTAAAATAACTTTTCTAAGAATAAATGTTATTAAGCTTCCTCTAAGTTAGCTGCATTACAACTAATGCGGGAAATATTTAACTGTACAGTATTTAGAAGTTATAAACGGCACGCTCGTGTATTTTTTAGCGGACTTAGCATATTTGCCGGGAGATAAAACCGAGCGTAAGCAGACGACAGACCAGGCGAGTAACAGACACGTGTTCGATTCGAAGTGATGCTGCGATGAACGCGCACGATCCTCATTGAGAGTTTTCTCGCAAAATGCGCAATATATTAACATTTCTGGCGATAATAATTCGTATTAGTAATTGTATTATGTGTCCCTGTTTTGATCAGTTGATCATATGCCACAATAGTTATAAATAGTGCTCACAGTCGCGAGATCTCGATTCAGTTAAATATTTAAGCCATTTTATTCAGTTCATGAATGTTGGTCGTATGACAACTAATTTATTCTAATTGCTATTAAACATAGCAATATAAAAAAACGATATTTTGAATATCTTAAAACTGTGGTTGTTTTACATTATTTTTGTCAAGATTTGTAAATCGTAACACCTCTATTTTGCTTAAGAACAAAATATGTATATCATAGTCATATCAGTAAGAATAACGATGTCTATATGCCATCCACGTGATCAATGGTGTTTGTACAGCCCACAAGTGTACGGAATCCTTCATAAAACTGCCGACTTTTCAGCGCGTAGATAAACGGATTGATGCATGAGTTGCCGAGGCACATTAATACTGTTGTTTCGTAGTATGTCGAATAGAAGTCTACTCGAACTTCAAACGTAGATAATAGAAAATACATCCATTGGTTCGGACTCCAGCAAATAAAAAACACGACAACTACGGTGGTCAGCATCTTCAGTATACGCACGCGACTTGATATCGCCGATGACTGCGATTGAACATCAGACGAAGCATTACAAATAACTTTGAACATCTTGGTGTATGCGAAAACCATAAAAATCATTGGAAATATGTAAGTAAAAAGGAAAAATCCTATACCTGTTACAACTTGGTGTGTTCTATTGTTAAAGTCTTGTAAGCATTTCCCGTTTTGGTATTCGTAAACAAATGGAATGAACAATACGAATACGATTGCTAGCATCCAAGCCAAGACGATAAGAATGTATGCTTTTGCGTTGGTGAAAGAAGCTTGGTAACGAAATGGATACACAATCGCACAAAATCTGTCAATGGTTACGCCAATAAGAATGAAAACCGAGGATATTGCAGTCATCCAAAAGAACACATCTGAAAGAACGACTTTACAGTATAGAGTCATATGGAAATAGTCAGGTACTGGATATGTCATATAAACCAACTTAGCAAGAATTAGCAAAGACGCTAATAAATCCGTCATCGCCAAGCTTGCTACGAACAGGTTTGGTGTAGTCTGCAGAAACTTCACTTTTGCAACCAGTATGAAAACAAGAGCGTTTCCGATGACTCCAATAATGCCAACAATCAGTTGTAGATATTCAGGGTATCTGAATGGAACATTTTCAGCGATAGAAGTCGAGTTTGAACGATTCTCAAACTCCATGATTAATTCTGCTTTAGACACGATGGTGACTGTAACAGCGATTCTGTTAATACTCGTTGAATGATGATAGACAAGTTTGTCTAAGTAGAGCTCTAGTACACGCACGGATTCATATGCTTGCCTCCACGGAAAGTTGGCGTACGGAATAGATGCGACCAGTTTAGACCGCTTTTAGTAATATTATAATATCCGTTTGGTCGTTGAGTACAAACGTATTATCATACACATGATACCCCAGTTGTACAGGATACAATTTAATATATGTTACAGATATGTATCACATATATTCTATTTATTGAAATCCATCTTAATTGCAAGGCATATTAATTGCTAAGTTAGGGACCCATACAATTCACTTATTACATTACATTTTAGGCGAACTGGAAATCACTACAAATCGTAAAATAACTGTTATGTGTGTTGATTTTTCGTTCTTGATTATGAGTACAGTCATGTCATGTATATAATGGTTTACGTGCATTAGTACAACACTTCATTTCTCATGTTCATGTCTACATGTATTGAATTACGACTGGTCAATAATTATCTGTTTCAATAATATAAACAAATAACTGGTTATTACAAGCTACAATAAAATACAAGACAAGATAGAACTCAGAAGAGATGTCGACCATAGCAACACATAGCAACGATTATGATCTTATACTAATACTTTGACTTTTGACAATTTAAACATATAGCCGGGGTATTGAAACTACATTGTGCCCACGGAAAAAAAACACAGGGTCAGTACCCTGGCTTGCATAAACAATTAAAGTCCAAGTTTGAACGGCCAGTTACGTAATGAACTAGATAGCAATGTTCAGAGTATCATTAACAATATCTTGGTATTTGTTGTTGGAAAGAAACAATGCATTGCCTCATATTAAAAGTTCAATAACTAACTTCTTAGAGCATAAATATAAGCATGGACACAAAAACAGCTTACGCCAGGCATAGGGGTTTTTCACTGACTACTCAGGCATGTTTTAGTTTGGGCTACTTTGTATTGACACTTACTTGTTTTGATTCATTGTTACTTTATAGATGCGAGAAAATTAATGTGTGTTATATTCCATTTACGTAATTATGTATTATTATGTTAGTCAATAGTTGTACGCATTTTAGCATCTTTCACTAGTGTATTGATCCTTATGACTAGGAAGCATATTTTCAGTAATTACAGGCCATTTTTAATTATATTATGTACTATGTTATTGGTCAGGCTTTTCACCCAATCACTGCCATGGCGTAGAATTAAAATCTTTACTTTTAGGATTAAGATCACGTTATAAATAAAGTTACTTGGCATATAGAATTAAGAACATGTATCACCCAAGTAAGTGTGTACAATGTTGACTGCTGTCATACGTCCTGTAATTTAGTTTTAGACCCACCGTGTAGTCAATTTCGTGTCATCCAGAAATAAATGATTAAACTGTATCTTACTGTTGATTAGGTAATGCGTGATTGACTGAACAACGGTAATGCACAATCTCACAAATCAGGGTTGACATCTAGTATTAGCTGCAAAGTCCCATCATGCAATTCGATTTCATCATGATGTACTTCGATGCTACTAAGATATAATTTCAGAACATAGAGAAACAAACAAACACACAAATCGAGTTTGAAGAGCCGAGTCACTATCTGCTATAAAAAGACGTGCAAACAAAAAAAGAACGGAATTGAAATAAAAGTACCCAAGACCAGAGCATCCAGCAACATTGAACAATTAATTTTAGCCTGAAGTCACAATGATTTCCAGAATACACTGCACTGAATAATTTTTAAATAATAAAAACCAAACATCGTGAAATCAGAAACAACCAACACAAATTCCAACATGCAATTGATTCTGGAGGAATGGACTTTTATAAATATTCGAGCATCATCAATTTGGAACAATTGAACTTCAATGTCATGCAATAATAAAATACCTCGACTATACATTTCGATAAAATGTACAGATACAAAAATTAAATATACTTTGCTACGTACAGACAATCACATTTTACAGAAACAAATCCCAGCATGCATTGTGATTACAACCTCCCTTCCCCAAAATACATGCATAATTTAGAAGTGATTCAAATTTTAATTAAATACCTTTTAATTAAGAGCTAATTTAATCAAACTATAAGGCATGAAGAGAGGGCATTTTTGAAAAATCCACTAATTAACTTGGAAAAAGATGAAAATCAATGTAAAATGGTAGATTAACTTTATTTAAAAAATCAAAATTAACAAATCAGGCTATGACAATAGATAATTTCTATAAAACACAAAGTGAGTATAACGTTCTCGTAACCATGGTAACATGAAAAAGGGAAAAGAGAAATAAAATGGCCAAATTCCAGCTAAATCATACTACTGCGGAATTAGGATAGATAGCGTGTATTGCCATTACTTATTAATACTAGTATTCTAGTTCTTACTTGTGTAAGACGATCGTGAACAGAGTTAATCACTCAAGCTTTAACTCCAGGCCAGTGTCGTGCGTTGCGGTTACCCAAAAAATACATGATGTGTATATTACACAACATAGACATATCAGTAAGAAAAAGATATATTAAAGCCGCAAGCGGCGTCAGCGGGGCCCAAGCTGACAAGATTATATTTCATAATTAATGATACACAATTGTTATTTTGAATGATTGGAACCATGAAGTCGAAATGCAGTTGGTTCCATGTATTTAACCGGTTTGATTATCGAGATATGGTTTACAGAATATAAAATGAGCCATGTTCAACATCATCATAATACCACAGGTTTCATCTTCCGAGCTGCAACAGTGTTTGAGATATAACACTTATGCATATTAATGAGGATAGAAGCCCCCACCCCATGGGCGCCCAGTCACATGACTTAGCCATGTGTCATTCGGGTGGAAGATTGTACCTCAAGAGTACAATACACATAAAAATATTTCGCCAAATCGCACCAATACAATACATGTAATTGCAAAAGTACCGTTTATACAAAATCTAAGATGGCGGCAAAACCACATGACTGATTAAAATTCTAATATTTTTTCTTGCAACAAACTATGACCGTACATCATATACACAGCATATCCAGTTGATTGATTGAAGCTCTTTTGAGAAACAAATATCCAAAGTTTTGGTCAATTTTACCTATAATCCAAGAAGACGGCCAAACCACATGACTGATTTGAAATATTTTTTAATATTCATTCTATATAGAGATGCAAAACATTAAATGAGAAGATAATGGCATAAATGTGGCATGAGGAAAAAACTACTTCCTGTTTAGAAAAAAAAAATGGCGGCCAAACCATGTGACCAATCATAACAATTTTTTCAAACTGAAATGTGCGTCATATATAGATGATAAAATACCATGTGTGGGAGAATTTTGCCAAGTGGTTCGAAAGAAGACGATTTAAATGTGTTTGTTTTTGGAGAAAAAAATATGGCGGAAAAAGTCACGTGACCGCTAAGGTTTTCATTGCTGATATCTATTACATATGAGTTGTACTATATGCCATAAAAAAATCTGAGAGCCTAGACCCTCGGAAAGTGGTCAAATAACCACTTCCGGTTTTATTTCAATCCAATATGGTTACAGAACCAATTGGCCAACCAAAAATATCAAACTATTCTGTTTAGCGGTTTTCTCAAAAAACTTGACGAAAGAAGTTACGGAAGAAAGAAAGACAGAAGTTGAAGAAAAAACCGGACGATAACAATAGGGACCTAGCCCTTCGGGCTTGGGCCCTAATGAACCTTATATTAAACACGACGTGATGTCAGGTGGTTTGAATTGAGTGGGTACTTTCTCCACATCCGTCAATTATTTTTTAGTCATTTTCTAAATCCTGCAATTAAAAGAAAAAGTAAGACAATAGTGTTTGACCCCATGACACCTCTACTGAGAGATACCACGTTGTTACCATGTTTTTCACAGTTTATGCTCAATGAAAATATATTTATGCTTCTACATCTACGCATGCGTATTGCAATATAGTACCTCTGTCGATATGCGTTTCCATCTCTGTTATTAAATGCTCTCTAAGAGTCGTGTCCATAGCAACAAGTCGCGAGAATAACAACTAAATTTCTTTGTGGTTGACAACCGGTATCTTTATATAAACTGATCTAGTTATTACAACTGATTTAGAATTAATATTTCTACCGATCGAAATATATCATTCCAATATTCGTAACTGTATTTATATTTATATTTATATATATATATCTGTCCATTTTTTTTATAGAAGAACCTTCCCAAATAAAAGAAATTCTAAAATTTAAAAACATAAGAGGTAGTCACTAAACCATGTACTTTCACACTCAAGCAAGAGAATAGACATGTTGGTCAACTAGCCTTGCAGTGTGGATGTTTTATTGTTTACACTCTGTAAAATACCATTTTTTTCACGAATAAACAAAAATTAAAAAAGAACTGCAGACCTCACTTCTTTATGTTTTTGAGTGGGCCAGCCAAGTTTCCACATACAAAAATACACATAATATTTCTATTTAATTTATTTTATTTTTCAATATAATTATGCCACTGAATTATTTAAAATAAATTTACAAATTATTGTGTTGAACACTATATAATCTTAATATTTTACAATCCATATCCTTATATTTGAATCTGTTTCAAGACATTGAAAAAAAAATATTTTAGAAGCATAACAATACAACGACTAGATTTGGTGTCACAGTTTGCTCCCAATTCATACTGGAATATTGCCAGCAATAATTAATAAAGCTTGTTCAGAAAACCATTTATTCCCGACATCATATTCAATGGCTAGTTCTCAGGATCTACAACAGTAAATAAATAAACAGAAATCATTTTGATGCCATGTTTTTAATCGACGACACCGCCATATCGCACAGAAATTCAACACCGCCATATCGAATTTGGATTTGGACCATACCATGTCAAGCTGCAGGGTGTCTAAACAATGTCCCAAAAAACAATAAACACATCTTCCACCCACCACACAAATTTTAGCCACAAT